CTCCCCTCAAGTGCTGGCTGGGTTGATGGCAGGCCTCCAGCTCCCAGCGCCTCACCCCGGTCCCAAGGTTACCTCCTTTCTCTGCGCCAGCCGGAGCCAGCTCCCTCACTGCCCCTGGCGCTCTGGCTGCTCTTTCCCTGTGGTAGGTAGTTACGGGGAAGATTCCAGTTGTAAGGTTGGAGCTTGGCCCAGAGCAGATGCCCTCTGATTAGTCTGGGGACAGGCCCTGCCAAAAAAGCAACGCGTGGATCTGTAGAACCAGAGATTTAAGGGAAACCAAAGGAAATGTCTCCAGACAGAGTTTTCAAACTTAAGAATGCATTAAGGGTTGCGGAATTAGTTTCATTCATCCATTCAATTACTGGATGCATATTTATTGAGCGCCCATTGAATGTCAAGCTCTGAGATAAGCTGGGGGCTACAAGAGTCAAAAAAGACAATGTGTTTTCCCCTCATAGAAGTAATAATTCAAATTGGGGAAGAGAGAGACAACAGAACAAACGACTCTTAGGGAACTACCAGGTGCAAGCATAGAGTAGAGATGTGGCTAGAATGTGGAGGCCCATTTTATTTTTAAAATACATATTTTATATTGATTTCAGAGAGGTGGGAAGAGGAAGAGAGAGAAACACCAATGATGAGAAAGAATCATTGATAGGCTGCCCCCTGCATGACCCACACTGGGGACCGAGCCCACAGCCCAGGCATATGCCCTGACTGGGAAGCCAGCAGTGACCATCCTGGTTCATAGGTCGCTGCTCTACCACACTGGCCGGGCTGGAGGGCCCATTTTAGATGGGTTGGTGGCTTCACTGTGGTGTGTCATTGGAGTAGAGATCTGATGGCCAGGAAGGAGCTAACCTGTGGAGAGCAGGAGAGGCCACTCCAGGCAGAAGGCCCAGCCAGGTGAGCACCGGAGGTCAGAACATGCTTGGTGTGCCAAACCATGACAAGGAGTGGCCAGAGATCAGGAAATGAAAGGGAGGGGAGGGGACCAGATGGTGCAGGGTTTTACCATGGGAAGGGGTTTGGATTTTTGTTTAGTGTCATGGAGAGCCATTGAGAGGTTGTGTGCAGGGAGTCAATTCTGTTTTGAAAAGATTACTCTGGCCCCTGAGTGGTTAATGGGTTGGTGTGGAAAGGAAGGAGTCAAGGAAACTAACCAAGAAGCCACTGCAGCCCTCCCAGTGAGAGGTGATGGCCAGGTGGCCGGTTGTCCCAGTGGTGCTGGTGGAGGGGAGTGAGGAGGACAGACTGGAGGGTGCCTGGAAGTGGGATGGATGAGCTTGATGATTGACTGGAGTGAGGGGCGAGGCAAACGGAGGGGCTGAAGATGGCTCCTAGGTCCCTGGGTCTCACAGCTCCACGGATGGAGGTATGTTTGTGGGGATAGGGATGACTCAGAGCACAGGCTGGGAATATGGAGGAGACGTCAGTCTGCAGTTGGAGGCATGGGAGTCATCAGATCCTCTGGGCTGGAAATACAACTGGAGAATCTCAGCACAGGACTGGCGTGAGCGCCCGGGGAAAGGGTTTAGACTAGGGGTGTCGAACTCAATCAGAGAAGGGGCCAAAATCTAAAATCCAGCCTAAATCGCGGGCCGAATGGTTTACTGAACAGTCATAAACTGTCATTGTGATGGAAACGCAGCGGAGTGCAGTGATGACAGCGCGGTGCGGGCCACATTGCAAGGCCTGGCGGGACGGATTTGGCCCGCGGGCCTTGTGTTTGACACATGTGGTTTAGACAGAAAGAGCTGAGTTTGGAGGCTTGAGCCCCGAGAAGCTCTGGCCCACACGTGGGAATGAGAGTGGCGAGCAGGGGAGCCTGAGGCAGGAGAAGTGGTGTCACAGGAGCCTCGCTGAACTCCTCAGAGGCCACGTAGGGGAAGACTGAGGGCTGCCCATTGAGTCTGGAGGTTTGGAGGAGGTTGCTGATGGCGACAAGTCATTTCAATTAGTCAGGGAGGATGAAGGCAGGCTGGAGTGGGTGCAAGAATGAATTGGAGAGGAGGAGGCTGAAAAGACATCGAGGGACAAGTATTGGAGAAGTTTTGCCATCAAACTGGGCAGAGAAATGGGGAAGTGGCTTCTTCCTTGGGTTTCTCTGAAAATAAAAAAATGCTCTCGCCATCATTTCTAAGCCTCTCTTCTGCTTTGACATACCCAGAACATGGCACTGCCACACCTAAAGTATTCCCATGGTAAAAAAACTGTGGGTGACGTGTAGTCCCCAGCAGATAGCTGTGGCTCCACTCCCCTTTCTCCCATTCAAGAATGCTTTAGGCTCTGTGACCGGGTAGCTCAGTTCGGTAGAGCTTTGTCCCAGTACGCCAAGGTTGTGGGCACGTACAGGAAGAAACCAAATGGATTCACTGAGTGGAGCAACAAATCGATGTTTCTCTCTCTTTCTCAAATCAGTTCTAAAATCAACCAATAATAATGATAAAAAAAAGAATGCCTCTAGGAATGTAAATCAGTCAGAGTAATGTTGAGAGAAGCATCTGCTACTTTCTAGAAAAAAACAAAACAAAAAACCTTAATCCAACTGCTATGCATTAAACTATTTGCAGTACCGCTTACCGCTGACCACATCACACCCGCTGGGGCAGGTTGGCTGAGGAGTGTGGTTTTCAGACCACGAGTGGTGCCATTCATTCATTATCTTCAGATAATTTTCTGAGCACTTGCTCTGTGTTAGGAGCTTAGTGCTGGGCACTGGAAGCAGCAGGGAACAAGCCAAACATGGCCTCTGCCCTCACGAAGCTCCGGCCAGACGGGGAGCAGCCACGTGCAGTGATCTCGAGTGCAGTGAGCTCACAGCTGGAGAAGCAGTGTGCTCTCCAGGAGAGTGTTGCCAGCGACCCGGCCTGGTCTACAGGCTCAGCGAGAGCTCCTGGGAAGAGGTCCCGAGGAATAAGCTGGGGGGATTGATGAAGCCTGTGCTGGGGGTGGGGGTGGGCAGTGGCCCGGCAGAAGTGAGCACAAGTGCGGGAGGGCGTCCGCCTCCTCTCAGGTCCACAGCAACGCCAGCCTGTCCAGGAAGTCAGGGGAGGAGGGGGTGTGGCATGAGAGGCAGTAGCAGAGGCAGGCAGGGGCCAGGGGTGCAGGGCATGGGCGCTCCTGCCAACTGTTGGGTCTTTATCAGGAGAGCAACACGAAGAGCGTTAAGTGTGTGCTGAGGGGAGAGGGATGAGTGTGTCAGATTGGTTCTGAAAGATCACTTGGGTGTCTATGGAATGGGGTGTGATTGTACATGAGAAAGACAGCAAGTGTCACTTGTATGCAGACAGGGGGACTGCATGAATTCCCTTCCAGCCCTATTTAAAAAAATGTTTTTATTGATTTCTGAGAGGAAGGGAGAGGGAGAGAGAGAGATAGAAACATCAATGATGTGAGAGAATCATTGATTGGCTGCCTCCTGCACGCCCCACATTGGGGATTGGGCTGGCAACCTGGGCATGTGCCGGAATCAAACCGTGACCTCCTGGTTCATAGGTTGACACTCAACCACTGAGCCACGCTGGCCTGGCCTTACAGCCCCATTGGACCAGACATGGCTGAGAATCTGGAAAGTGACTGGGGGTGAACTGTCTGAGCAGCCTCCTGCTTGTGTGTCCTTCCTCTGCAGCCTGGCCTGGTTTTCCCCTTTCCTCCCTTCCCTGAGGGAGACCTGACAGGCCAGTTCAGCAGACGAGGACTCCAGTGCAGAAGAACTCCAAGGTAACCCCCCGGGCCAATGTAGGGCGAGGATTAGAAATGATGGAAATGGAGGCCAGAAGGGCTGTCTTAAGGGACTGGTCAGCAGCGAGCATGGGACATGAAGTGCAGAGACACGGGTGGGTGCAGGGCCTGGGGTGGGCAGGGCAGAAATTCACTCACCTCAGGGAGACCCACCTACAGAATGCCCATTCAGCAAGTTTGGGGCGTGAGCCAGGAATCCCTGTTTTAAGGAGCCCCATCCTCTCCCCACCAAGGTGACTAACTCCGGGGGCGGCCCCACGACCTTCCTTTTGAGAATGCCTCCGTGCTGGCTGGCTTTTGGACCTTGTATCCTCACGCCCCTTAGCTGTCTCTCACCAGCTTGGGCCTGAAAGCTTGTTTCAGTCCTGCTTTGAGGATGTGGATAAATAACCACATTCCAGGGCGGTGTGTGTGTGTGTGTGTGTGTGTGTGTGTGTGTGTGAGTGTGTGTGTGAGTGTGTGTGTGTGTGTGTGTGTGAGTGTGTGTGAGTGTGTGTGTGTGTGTGAGTGTGTGTGAGTGTGTGTGTGAGTGTGTGAGTGTGTGTGAGTGTGTGTGTGAGAGTGTGTGTGTGTGAGTGTGAGTGTGTGAGTGTGTGTGTGTGTGAGTGTGTGTGAGTGTGTGTGTGTGTGTGAGTGTGTGTGAGTGTGTGTGTGTGTGTGAGTGTGTGTGAGTGTGTGTGTGAGTGTGTGTGTGTGTGTGTGTGTGAGTGTGTGTGTGTGTGTGAGTGTGTGTGTGTGTGTATGTGTATGTATGTGTGTATGTGTGTGTGAGTGTGTGTGTGAGAGTGTGTGTGTGTGTGTGTGTGTGTGAGGTGTGGTGTGAGTGTTGTGTGTGTGTGTGTGAGTGTGTGTGAGTTGTGTGTTTGAGAGTGTGTGTGTGAGTGTGAGTGGTGAGTGGTGTGATGTGTGAGTGTGTGTGCGGTGTGTGTGTGTGAGTGTGATGTGTGAGTGTATTGTGTGTGATGTGTGAGTGTGTGTGTGTAGGTGGTGTGAGTGTGTGGTGAGTGTGTGTATGTAGTTGTGTGTGTAGTGTGAGTGTGGTGTGTGTGAATGTGTGTGTGTGTGTGTGGAGTGCGTGTGTGTGTGTGTGTGAGTGTGTGTGTGTGTGAGTGAGTGTGTGTGTGTGTGTGTGTGTGTGTGTGTGTATAGGGAGGGGGTGGCTCCCGGTCCGGAGGCACCGACCGTGCGGCCGCCAGGGGTCGCCAGAGGCCTCGGCTCGCGCTCGGGCTCCTCCGCCAGCGGGCGCCGCGCCCGAGCGAGCCAGAGCCGGGAGCCAGCGCTGCCGCTCACAAAGCGCGGACTGCGCGGCGGCGGCGGCAGGAGCAGGAGCGAGGCCAGAGCTTCCCCGCGACCGGACCACAGGAGCTCCCGCCACTCGGACGCGGGGACACGGGCCAGCCCCCAAGGTACGTGCCCGCCAAACCCCGCGCCCCAACTTGGCGCAGTTGGGGTGCCCGCGACCACCTCGGGCTGCAGGGTCGGGGGCCTGGGGTGCCTCCGCGCACCCCTCTAGCCGAGGCGGCAGGGTGGGCAGGGAGAGCCTCCCCGCTGCGGGTACCCCCCTTCAGTGCTGCCCGAGCCTGATGCCGCTCGGAGCCCGCTGACCCCTCTATCAGCCCCGGGCGCCCTCCGTCCGCGGGAGGCGGCGGCGGGTCCCCGGCTCCGGGCGGTGCGGAGCAGCGGGTCCATCCGGGGCGCCCGCAGAATAGCTGGCGGGGCTTCCCCTAGTTTGACAGCAGCCCCCAATCTGTGGCGCAGCCTCTTCATTTATAACGGAGTGCCCCCCCCCCCCCCCCCATTCCTGAGAGGGGTCCCCGGGTCTCCAGGTCCTGGACAGGCGCCCCCCCCCCTTGGGTGAGAGATGACCCCCGCCCCCCGGACCCTCCCTCCCCCCGCCCTGTCGCCGGGGCGGCGGGGGCCCAGCTCGCTCACCCCCCCCCCCCCCCCCCCCCGCAGATGCCGGCGATGGCGGTGCTGGCGGCCGCGGCGTGGTGCCTCCTGCAGGTGCACGGCCGGCGCCTGGACGCGCTGGCGGGGCGCGCGGGCCCCAACGGCAATTTCCTGGACAACGACCAGTGGCTGAGCACCGTCTCGCAGTACGACCGCGACAAGTACTGGAACCGCTTCCGAGACGTGAGTCCCGGGCCGGCAGCCCCCGCGAGGGGCCCGGGGCGGGCGGGCGGGCGGGCGGGGGGGCTGGGCAGGCCTCCGGGGGCGGCTTGCTGGTCCTGGCCCCGGGCTGTCTGACCCCCTCTATCAGCCCTGGGCGCTGAGAACTTGCAAGGGGAACTTGGGAGGCCCGCGCCTCTCTGCCTGTTACCTGCTGCCCGTTACCTGCCGGCCAGGTGTGGGCGTTTGTAGGACGGGGAGAGGCCGCCGGACTGAGCGTGGGATGAACAGTGAGCGGCGGCGGAGAGAGGCTCCTGCAGCCTCTGAATTCTCTGAGGCGGATGGCTGACTTTGCCCAGCCCCGTCCAGAACCTCCTGGGCAGCGCTGAATGGGCCATCTCTAGGGTGCGCTGCAGGGGCGAGGCTTGGAGGGGAGCCCCGCTTACTGGTGAGGGAGCCAGGTGTTCCAGGTGCTCCAGGCGTTTGGACTGGACATGGCAGCGGGCTGGGGAACATGGTGGCTTTGACCTTTGGCATCTTTAGGGGGAGGGAGAGGGAGCAGGAGCTCCTGGAGTTGGGCCCCTGCTCTGAGGAGGAGACTGGGTGGCCGGATTGCCCCCCTGGGGAGCCCCGAGGGGAGGAAGTCATTCCCGGGCACCCAGAGCACATCCGCTGTCTGTTTCTGCCCCACGTCTGGGTCTGGCTGCTGCCCCCCAGGTAAGCCCCGGCGGGTGCAGGGGCAAGAGGGCGCCTGCACGGCCTCTCCCGCAGGCAGATGGCACCCCTCTGCCTTGGAGCTGCTGCCAGCTCCTTCCTGGGCTGCCCCGCGGGTGGCTAGGGAGAAGTTGTATGATATGTACCACTGGGAGCCTCTGTTCTCATGGGTGGGCACGGGGCTCTGGGAGGTGGGAGATGTGTGGGCGTCACCCTCTTTCCCTGGAGTGCCCTCAGCCCCATGCTGGGTAGCCCCATTCCTGGCGGGGGGGAGAGTCTGAGGATTCCAGTGAATCCCAATGGTTTCCTGTACTTCCCACAAAGCGTCTCTCCAGAGGAGAAGGTGTGCCACAGCCTTGAGTGGGGGTGTAGTTCTCTCTCTCCTTCCTGGGGGTTGCTTCTCTTTGAGAGGTGCTTTCAAATAAGCCTCCACAGTTTATGGGGGGTGGGGGGTGGCTTAGTTGTGCAGCAGATACGCTTCCTGCTCCTCCCACCTGCCCATGGGATTCCTGCCATTCTCTCCCCGTTCCTGCCCTGCACACCATCTTCACTCCCTTCCGTCCAGCGTCGAGGAGCCTTGGACTGACTGCCCTGACTGCCTTTGCTCGTGGCTGAGAAAGGTGCCCAGATTGCCCCAAAGATGCCCCAAAGGAGTGTCATTCATGGACTCACAGAGAGTAGAATCATTTTCATTTGTTTTAGAAAGCGGTGAGGAACAGAGCAGATGCTTAACTCTGTTCCACATGGGAGAGTGGGGCCAGGCACAGAGAGGAAGGGCCCTTTGCAGATGAGATGGCGTGGTTTGCAGGTTGCTGGGTCACACCGAGAGGGGCCGTGGTCTTAGACACGTGGAACTGTTCACTGAGCTCCTGTGCCTGTCCGAGGCTTTCTCCTGTCAGTGTCCCATGAGCATGACATGACTCTTTATACACACACATTTTTTTACAGAGAGGAAGGGAGAGGGATAGAGAGCTAGAAACATGGATGAGAGAGAAACACCGACCAGCTGCCTCTTGCACACCCCCTGCTGGGGATGTGCTCACAATCAAGGTACATGCCCTTGACTGGAATCGAACCTGAGACCTTTCAGTCTGCAGGCCGACACTCTATCCACAGAGCTAAACCGGTTTGGCACGACGTTACTCTTATTTCCCATTTGTCTTTAAATTTTTAAAATTGGACTTTTCTTCATTTCCCATCTTTCTTGAAAATGGTGATATTTTTTATCCTTGGATCAGGTGTTCTCCAAGCCTGACGTACCATGCCGCTCACCTGGTGCTTGTTAATTACAGCACCCGGCTCCTCCCCTGCGGTTCTCACCCACCTTTCTGGGACGCGTGCTGGAAATCTGTATTTAAACAAGCATTCTTATGTTTAGGAGCTACTGCCTTAAATGCTGAAAAAATGTCCAAAGCGTAACAAAAAGAGAAAAGTGTCTCTGTTCAAATGTGCTGTTCTTTGTTTCTGGAGTAATTTTAGGTATAAAACTAATATTTTAAGCAGCATATATTCTTTAAAAAAAATCTTTATTGAAAATATTACATATGTTCACCCCCCCCCCCCCCCCCCCCGCACATTGACCTCTCTCACCCTGCCCCCGCCCAGCCCAGGCCTTCACCCCTCTATTGTCTGTGTCATCAGTTATGTTTATATGCAGGCAGGTTCATTGGTTGATCTCCCCTGCCTCCTCTCTGAGGTTTGGCAGTCTGTTTGATGCTTCTTTGTCTTTGGATCTATTTTTGTTCACCAGTTTATGTTGTTCATTATATTCTCCAAATGAGCAAGGTCATTTGATACTTAGCTTTCTCTGACTGGCTTATTTGCTTTCCAGGTCCACCCATGCTGTTACAAATGGTAGGAGTCTCTTATTTTTTACAGCAGTGTAATATTCCATTGTGTAGATGTACCACAGTTTTTTAATCCACTCATCTGCTAATGGGCACTTGGGCTGTTTCCAAATCTTAGCTATTGTAAATTGTGCTGCTATGAACATAGGGGTACATGTAATCTTTCTGATTGGTGTTTCTCATTTCTTGAGATATATTCCTAGAAGTAGAATCACTGAGTCAATTGGGACTTCTATTTTTAATTTTTGAGGAAACTCCATGCACTTTTCCACCAAGGCTGCACCAGTCTGCATTCCTACCAGCAGGGCACGAGGGTTCCCTTTTCTCCACATCCTCTCCAGCACTTGTCATTCGTTGATTTGTTGATGACAGCATTCTGACAGGTGTAAGGTGGTACCTCATTGTTGTATTGATTTGCATCTCTCAGGTGACTAGTGACTTTGAGCATTCTATATAATAAAGAGGTAATATGCAAATTGACCATCACACCCTTACACAATATGTCTGCCCCTATGTGGTCACATGATGGCAACCACAAGATGGCCAGCAGGGAAGGGCAGTTAGGGGTGACCAGGCCTGCAGGGGAGGGAGGGCAGTTGGGGGCAACTGGGCTGGCAGGGGAGCAGTTAGGCATTGATCAGGCTGACAGGGGAGTGGTTAGGGTGTGATCAGGCTGGCAGGCAAAAGAGGTTGGGGCAATCAGGCAGGCAGGTAGGCAGGCGAGCAGTTGGGAGCCAGTAGTTCCAGATTGTGAGAGGGATGTCCGACTTCCGGTTTAGATACGATCCCACAGGGGTCCCAGATTGGAGAGGGTGCAGGCTGGGCGAGGGACCCCCTCCCCCCTCCCCCCTCCCCAGTGCACAAATTTCATGCACCAGGCCTTTAGTTTTTTCATATGCTTCTTTGGCTTCTGTATATCCACTTTGGAGAAGTGTCTATTTAGGTCCTTGTCCATTTTTAAATTGGATTGTTTATCTTCCTTTTGCTAAGTTGTACAAGTTCCCTATAAATTTTGGAGATTAACGCCTTATCAGACATATCATTGCCAAATATGTTCTCCCATGCAGTGGGCTTTTGTTGATGGTTTCTTGGCTGTGCAGAAGCTTTTTATTTTGATGCAGTCCCATTTGTTTATTTTCTCCTTAGTTTCCATTGTCCTAGAAACTGTGTTGGTGAACATATTGCTGTCTGGTATTGCAGTATATATTGTTTTTAAGTGAAAATTTAACTCATAATAACATTAAAAACATCTAAAAATGTTTAAAAATCCCAAATATCTTCAATTACAATCATTTTATATGCTTTATGGGGTCCTCTGATGCTAGCCATGGAACAGACATAATTTAAGACCATGAACCTCTTTAAAGTGTTGTGAAACTCAAACTAGATAATCTTTTAGGCCAAGGTCAGGTGTCTTCATATGGGTCACTTATTTGGAATATCCACAGAGCCTCAGTCCCTGGGACCAGGGGGTAGAAGCTTGCTTTCTGTAGAAACCTGCTGTTCAGTGGACAACCAAGCCCCAGCCAGGCCCGTTGCTCAGCCAGTCTATAGTTTCCCTGAGCCAGGCCTTGCCAGAGGTTAATAAAACTCAGCTTCCCTGCTGTTGTTCTGTTGAAGCTACCGATGACTTGGGAAAACTGCCCTGAGGTTGTTGCGATGCTTGTCAGCTTTTGATCGTCATCGTGAAAGGGAACTTTTTGCCTTTCCTGAGACTCATCATTGTTTTGCACTTGGGGGACAGAGATTTGGAAGTAATTTTTGAACTTGTGAAACTGAGAACTGAAGGCTCCCTTTGGAGAGCTGATGATGCCCATTGGTATTGTTATTGAGCTGACTTGGAAGTAGAAATGATGGTGTCTGTGTGCCCCATGCCCCCAGCCTGTGCTGTGTGCTGTGACATTGCCAGAGCTGTCCTGGTAGCCGGTATTTACCGCTTTGAAGAGGTCCTCTAGGTACACAAAGAACCACTTTCCTTTCCAGAAGAAACATCTCAGGATGTCTTCATGGCTTATTACCTGGAGCAATGAATTCAGGAACAACATACCGTTATCATGTTAGGAGATGTTTGCTCCTTAAATATGTTGGTGGTCTATTAGGTTGGCCATCATTCTTTTTTTATTAATTAATTTTCCAATTATAGAATTTATCATTCTTTTTATAACGACTGGCCCTTGGGATGTTTAGGCCAGATGGAGACCCAGACTTTTGCACAAATACAGTATGAAGGAGGAGAAGATGAAGAAGGATAGATGTTCGCATTTAGCTGCACAATTATTTCCCATTTCCAACTGTCATGCATTTAATTTCTCTGTGGTTTGAGATGGAGGGGTCATGATGCCACAGCCATTCTCCTGATTTCCCCCCCCTGTATATTTTCAATATTTGGCTTCCCATACCTATTGCTGTAAGGAAATTTTCCTCTGTTTATTCAAACATTCATCTGTATGTTCATTCATTCCA